TGGGGGCACCAGGGCAGACAAGGGTGGGCACCGACGGCGGGGAGGGAGGGATGTGTACGTGGGTGCCGGCGTGGGGAGGAGCTGAGCTGTAGAGACCTGCTGGGCCGCGGTAAGCCTGGGCCCCCGGGGTAGCGTCCCCCGGGGAGAGGCCCGGGTCAGAGATCCAGAAACGGGTGGCACTGGCGCTGGGTGAGGTCTCCCTCCCGGGGAAGGCCAGCATCGGGGGAGGGCAGGGCCGCCGAGGAGCCTGGGACATGCTGCCCCCTCCGAGACCTTTTGTCCTGTCGTTTGTGCTGTTATTCATTCATTTTTATTTTGTAATTATTATTATTTTCTTTGAGTTGTAGTCTCGCTCTGTTGCCCAGGCTGCAGTGCAGTGGCACGCACCCTCACGGCCACCCCCAGCGTCGACCTGCTGTGCTCTGGCGATCCTTCCGCCTCAGCCTTGGAAGCAGCTGGAACTACAGGCGTGCGCTACCACGCCGGGCTGATTTTTTTAATTTATTGTGGAGACAGGTCCAGCCAAGTTGCCTGGGCTGGTCTTGAACCGGCAGGCTCAGGCAATCCACTCGCCATGGCCTCCCAAAGTGCTGGGATTACAGGCTGTAATTTTTATAGAGATGAGGTCTCGCCCTGTTGTCTAGGCTGATGTTGAACTCCTGGGGTCAGGCAATCCTCCCACCGTGGCCGCCCAAAGTGCTGGGATTAAAGTTGTGAACCACCAGGCCTGGTCTCACACTGTTATTCATTTGATGAACATTTCTTGTGCATCTCCTGAGCTAGGGCCGCTGCAGGGAGCTTGAAAGGAGTGGCGCTATGTTCTTGGAGCTCCCGACCTCATGGAAAGGAGGATGGTGATAAAGTAAATCCCCCAGGAGATGCAAAATGGCTGCTGTCAGAAGTGCCTGGAAGGGCCACATTGCCCCATGGGAACATAAAGCTGGGGAGATGTGTCCTCTGGAGCTTGTGGAGGGGGCTGAGAAGAGTTGGGTTAAGTGGGGTGAAGAGAGGATGGGAGAGTGGCCTGGAGCAAGAACAGCATGTGCAAAGGCCCTGGGGTGCACCTGGGCATGGCAGGAGACTGCTGACCGGGTGGCCAGACTTCCTGCTTGCTGCCTGGTCCCTGGCTTCCTGGTGTGTCCTGCAAAGTGAGAGGGAGGGCTCCCCAGCCCCTCCTCCAGGGAGTAGCCTTCGGGCCCTATCCTTTTGAGAGTCCCAGCCTCCTCCCCATCTGATTGGTCCTTGTCTCTCCTGCTCAGGCTCCTCCCTGGTCATGAGCCCAGAACCCCCCTGCTCCTTTGGCTTGGCAGGTCAGGGCTTGCGGGGAGGGGAAGCATCCATGTCCCCCGCCCTGGGCAGCATCTCACGTCTACTGTCTCTCCACACGCTGCAGACGTAGATGAGTGTGCCAGAGACCCACTGCTGTGCCGGGGAGGCACCTGCACCAACATGGACGGAAGCTATCGGTGCCAGTGTCCCCCTGGACATGCGCTGGCGGCTGGGGGCACTGTCTGTGAGGGTGAGCCCACCCCGGGTATGGAGGGAGCATCAGGGTGTGTCCACAGGGCGCTTCTGGTGATGTGATTGTGTGAGGAAAGTGGCAGCATGTGTGTCCCTGAGGCCTCTGTGTGTGTGTACATGGATGAGTGTGTGTGCATCTGTGTGAATGCATGAGAGGGTCTGAGTGTGTTCCAGGGTGTGAATGTATCTCCCAGAGGCACATGTGCCGGCCTGTGGCTAGGGGTGTGTGTGTGTGTCTCTGTGTACGTGTAAAAGATTGTGACTGAGCCAGGCTCGGTGGCTCAGCCTGTCATCCCGCGCCTTTGGGAGGCTGAGGTGAGTGGATTGCCTGAGCCCGCGGGTTCGAGACCCGCCTGGGCAACTCGGCGAGACCTCATCTCTACAAAAAATCAAAAAATCAGCCGGGTGTGGTAGCGCACGCCTGTAGTTCCAGCTACTCGGAAGGCCAAGGCGGAAGGATCGCCGGAGCCCAGCAGGTCGAGGCTGCGGTGGCCGGGCGCGGCCACTGCACTCCAGTCTGGGTGACAGAGTGAGACTCCGACTCAAAAAAGAAAAGAAAAGATTGTGACTGGATTTGGGTGTGGGTGCGGGTTGATACAAGGAAGGATGTGTTTGTGTGTGTGTGTCTGTGAGTGTGCAGTGGGTGTGTCTGGGTGTGGTTGTATACACAAAGGTGAGTGTGTTTTTGTGTGTACTTTCGTGAGTATGAGTGTATCTGGATGTGGATAAGTGTTTACACAAGGGTGTGTTCACGTGTGAGTGGATGTGAGGTATGTTTGAGTCTATGAGTGTGCCTGGGGCTGTGTGTCTCTGGGTGCCTGGGGCGGGTGTGTCTCTGGGTGCCCTGTGTTTTCCACAGACAAGTGGGTGTGGGTGTGTTTGTGAGTGCATGGGGTTGTGTGTTTACACGTGTGTGGGCGTGTGGGGTGTGCGTGTGTCTGAGCCTGTCTTGCGGCCTAGGCCCTCCCTTCTCGTGGACCGCCCCTGCCAGGCATGTGCTTCCTCCTCAGACATCGACGAGTGCTCCTTGAGTGACGGCCTGTGTCCCCACGGCCAGTGTGTCAACATCCTCGGTGCCTTCCAGTGCTCCTGCCACGCTGGCTTCCAGGGCACAGCTGACCGCCAGGGCTGCGTGGGTGAGACCGCGTCTGCCTGCAGGCCCCAGCCAATGGGGCTGTCCCTCCTGCCCTCACCTCCAGACCCCTGTGCCTGCCCCCGAGCTGGCCCTCACCCTGTGTTTGACTCTCCCCCACCCTGGCCCTCCCCGTCTGCCCTGCCTCCCTCAGACGTCAACGAATGCCAAGCCCAGAACGGTGGGTGTGCTGTGTATTGCCTTAACACCGAGGGCAGCTTTCAGTGCCGCTGCAGGCGGGGCTACTCGCTGATGCCAGATGGGAGGGCGTGTGCAGGTGGGTGGCATGGCCCTCTCCCGTGGCCTGGCATGGCCCTAGACTGCCCCAGAGCCCAACCTGGCCCAGCGCCCGAGCAAAGCCAGCCCCCCGCCTGGCCTGTGGGCCGGGCCCTGGGCAGGCCACTGTCCCTGTGGGAGGGACCTGGGCCTCTCCCTCCCTCCCTGCCCACCTGCAGCCCAGCCCCCGTCCCTGCTCCCCCAGATGTGGACGAGTGTGAAGAGAATCCAGATGTTTGTGACCAGGGCCAGTGCACCAACGTGCCGGGTGCTTATCGCTGCCTGTGCTATGCTGGCTTTGTGGCCACGCCAGACATGAGGACCTGTGTTGGTGAGGGGGCTCCTGCAGGTAGAGGGGAAAGAGTCAGAACCCCCACATCGGGCCTTCCCCAGCAAAACTTGTGGCCTGACAGATCCCAGGTCCCATCCTGACCATTCTCAGGAAAGGGTGATAAGGGGGGGATCTCATGGGTGGAAGAAAATCCCCTGGAACCTGGTTCTTTGGAGCAGATGTGTACTGGGTGCCCTCTCAGGACAAAGCTGAGGCCACCAGGGAGGGGCCAGGAAGTTACAATGTAACTCCTGACCAAGAGTCAGGCACTCACAGAGCTTAGAGTCCCAGCTCACAGGAGGCTCAGTGAGCTCCGCAGGAAAGGGCCTTGTGAGCAAATCTATTTTTTTTTTTTTTTTTGAGTTGCAGTCTTACTCAGTTGGCCAGACTGGAGTGCGGTGGCCGCTCCCGGCCCCCGCAGCCTCAACCTGCTGGGCTCCGGCGATCCTTCCGCCTCGGCCTTCCAAGTAGCTGGAACAACAGGCGCGCGCTCCCACGCCCGGCTGATTTTTTTATTTATTGTAGAGATGAGGTCTCGCTGCCCAGGCGGGTCTCGAACCCGCAGGCTCAGGCCATCCACTCACCTCAGCCTCCCAAAGGCGCGGGATTACAGGCTGAGCCACCGAGCCCGGCTGTGAGCAAATCTATTTAAAGATGCTGTGTACTCCATGTACCCCTGTTGCAAGCGGCGGTACACACTGGCATAAAGGCTCTGAAAAGTCCTGTGGGAGAAAAGCCTGGTTAGCCTGGCTGAACCTAGCACTTCCTAACTGTGTTAACCGAAAAATACTTTTAGGAGCCCATGCCTGGTACGCTCCACAGAATACGGGCTGTGAAGTGTTCACAGGACACTCCAGGGGGAGCTTCCCGCCCCCGAGAGCAAGCAAAGGGATCCTCCAGCCTCCGCCTCCCAAGTCGCTGGGACTAAAGTGCATGCCACTGTGTCAGGCTAATTTCTTGTAGAGACAGGGTCTCACTCTCTTGCCGTGGGGGGGGCCTGCATAGCAGGACGCAGAGGGGTGCAGGGCCGTCCGTCTCACTCTCACCCGCTTCTGCTCCTGTCACCCCAGCGCTGTGCCTCAGGCCTCATGCCTCATGCCCTCTCCCCCTACAGATGTGAACGAGTGTGACCTGAGCCCTCGCATCTGTCTCCGTGGGACCTGTGAGAACACACAGGGCTCCTTTGTCTGCCACTGTCCGCCGGGCTACGTGGTCCGGAAGGGGGCCGCGGGCTGCTCAGGTGAGCAGTGTCAGCAAAGCATGGGAGGGCACCTCGGGGGCCAGTTCGCAGGGGTCATGGGCTCTGCCCTCCCCTCCAGGCAGAGGACGGCTACAATTCCTTCCTGCGGATCCCACCACGGGGGAAGAACAGAGCCCCATTAAGGGCCCCCAGGGCTCCCCTTTAACAAGCAACCTGGCAGGAGAGCCCCAAGTATCCACAGCCATGTTTCCAGAGCACAAAAGCCTGGTGATTTGACATGACCCGAGACAAACATGCAAACATGAATGTTTATATACCCAGATACGTAAATATGAACAGTTGTGTATTTGAATATGTATAGTGAACAATTGCATGTTCAAATATGTACAATGGAATGGTTACACTTCAACTTCCTGTGGCTTCTGTGCAAGATTATCTCAGCCCCAGTGACCTGAAGTGGATTCGCTGTCCAGAGCATTGGCTCTGGGGCTGATTTATTGTAGAGACGAGGTCTTGCCAAGTTGCCCAGGCGGGTCTCGAACCCACGGGCTCAGGCAATTCCCTCACCTCAGTCTCCCAAAGGTGCAGGATTACAGGCTGAGTCACTGAGCCCGGCTCTTTTTTTTTGAGACAGGGTCTGTTTCTGTTGCCCAGGTTGGAGTGCCATGGCATGAAGCTACTACTGCATTCTAGGCGGGTGACAGAGCAGGACCCTGTCTCTG